AAGGAGGCTGGGGCTGAGCCTGAGACAGAGGTGTGGGCAGACAAGAAGGGGCTACTAGAGAGAGGTCTTCCCTGGGAACATTCCCACCAGCTAGCATAGGATGCAAGAAGCCGTCAGCCTGTATCCTGGCCACCATGTGCCCTTGGGCAGTCACATACCTTCCCTAGACCGGTTTCTGCCCTTGTCAAATGGGAAGCTTTTAGGACACACCAAGCTCACTGCCATCCAGCCGAGGCCAACTCACATGACCCTACAGGACAGGGCAGACCCCCTTGTGGGTTTCCGGCTGTCGCTCTATGGTAAGGTCACCAGACGTCCCACTTTTGGCGGGACAGTCCTGATTTTAAACAATTTTTCCCGTGCCCCGTGGAGTTTTAAAAAGTCCCAATATTTGGAAAGAATGCACAACAAGCTAGGGTATACAGTTTTCGGCTGCCATGTGGCTATTTCGCCAGGATATAAGTTTTATCAATTGTGTCCCACTTTACCAATGTTAAAATCTGGTCACCTTACTCTATGGGAGTAGAAAGCTTTGTCTTTCTCCCTTGGTTTCAAATGGTTGACTTTGCGGTTAGCAGCCCATTGGACCCCCAAGATCCTTGGGAAACAGCTGAGTCTTCTTCTTTTTTTCTTTTTAGCAGGATTTATAATCCGTGGAGGAGCCCTAGTGGAACACAGGGGGCACCCATTGGACTGCTAGCCACAAGGTCAGCAGTTTGAAACCATCAGCCGCACTGGCAGAGAAAGATGAGGCTTTCTGCTCCTGTCAAGAGTGACAGTCTAGGAGCCCCCAGGGGCAGTTCCCCCCTTGTCCTCCAGGGTGGTCATGAGTCAGCATGGCCCGGAGGGCAGAGAGTTAAGTTTGGATACTCACGGGGATTTCCTAGCGAAGCCTCTCATTTTACCCAAGGGGAAGCTGAGGCTCAGAGAAGAGTGAGATCCCTTTAAAAATGACATATCAGGTCACACAGTGAACCACTGATAACCCCGGACGTTGCTTTTTTTTTTTTAAATCCTCAGAGTGTGTATATGAGTTTACCATCGTGCTGGCTGGCTTAGGGTGACCTCTTCGGTCCGAGCAGAGCCCTGTTCCAGAGGGCCTCCAGGGGCTGTGCTTTCAGAGAGATCACCAGGCCTTTCTTCCAAGGAAACACTGGGTGGACGCACTCCTCCCACCTGCCAGTCAGCAGCGCGCACATCAGCCATTCATCCGACCTGGGGCTCCAGTCTCAATGAGACACATGGACTGATCACCCTGCAGGTGTGGGGTGCTGGCCTCAACCATTGCGGTGATAGTACATGACTGTGGATGCCCCCCCTCCCCAAACTCTACCCTACCTTTCTTCCCATCCTATTATTCATTCAACAAGCACCTCCTGAGGCCTCTTTTGGCCTAGCCCTGCGCACAGCCATGAGGAAGATGGTCTCCCAGCACCCCTCAGGAACACCAACAGGTAAGGGGCTAGTTGTGTACATGCTGGTAGAGGGGTGAGTCCGGGGGCTGCGGGAGCGCCAAGCAGGGCCAGGGACTGAGCTTGTGCAGTATGGACTCCTGAGAACAGTCAATCAGAGGCGCTCCAAGAAGCCACATTTGCCCAGGTGTGAAGCTCAGAAGTGGCAAAGGGCAGGAGCGCATTGGAGGAGCGGCAGTCCCTGTCATGAAACAAAATGTGCATGGATTCCTGAATGGAAAACAGATGTGCCCTATCAACTTTCACTGAGGTCATAATTAACAAATAACAATAATAATACAAACCTGTGAAATGTATTTGGAAAACACTGATTTGTAAGTTATGTGAACTATATTTCAGTAAAGCTGTTCCCAGGCCCAAAATGTCGCTGAATTCCATGAGATGCCATGTGCCTGGTGCGTCAGACCCAAAGCCAAAACCAAACGCACTGCCCTCGCGTCCATGCCCACTCATAGTGACCCTATAGGACAGGGTATAGGGTCTTGACTCAACTGCCCTTTGAGTAAACCCGACTTTCTCCCACAGATCAGCTGGTGGTTTCGAACTGCTGACCATGGTCCCCTCTTGGCAATTCAAGGTCAGACCCATCTCCCCTTGCTTGTGGAGCTGTGTTGAAGGCCCCAGTGAGTACTATCACAGCGTCCTCACCTATGGCTCGAAGCCATTATCCCCACTTGACTATCAGGCACCTCTGTCCCCACAGCTCAGCCATCTTGTCATGCTGTGAATTGTGTCAGCATCCTGCCCCACCCCAGACTGGCTTCTCCCCTTCCGGCACCCTTCCCCCAGCTCCTCCTCCACACCCCTCTCCTCCGGCTCTGCCTTGGGGTCAAAGATGCTCCTTCTACAATGCTCTGGGCTCCTCCTTGGTGCAGCCCTGGTGAGGCCAGCTTCAGGGTCAGGTCACCAGGCCACCCCGCAGAGCCACTCGTAGCAGAGTCTCCCAGCAACAGCGGCAGAGCCTGACTCAGCATGTCCTCCCCTTCCCAGCACAGACCTGCAGCCGCAGCCCGCTGGGGCCTCAGCCAGGGCCGCAGTGGCCCTGGTGCCAGCAGCATCCTGTGGTGGGCAGGGGGCCTGCATAGTAGCACTGCTGCCGCCCAGGCCTGAGTCCCGCCCAGGATGGGCAGCTGCAGTGCCTGACACAGGGCTGTCTGGGAGCTGTCACCCGCAAAACTCCCTGCAGACCACACCTCCTGGGCCCGCCATTTGCTGTGGTGCACCCCCCACCCAGGCATCTCAGACAGTACGGCAGAACAAGGACTGGGGCCCATCCCAGCCCTGCTGGCAGCCTAGAGTGACTGCTGGAACCACTCGGTGATGGTGTTATCTCCGGTGGCTTTGGATTCCCCACCTGACTTCCAGCCCCCCCACCCCACCCCCACTGCCCACTACCCTCAACTCCATCCCGGGCCATAGTCCTATCTTTCCCCGCAGAACTGGGTCTGATGAGTCGGACAGGGGACCTGGGTAACCAGGCCACGAGCAGGTGAGAGCTAGGTCCAAGTGGACAAAGGGTGCGGTGCAGAGCCCATGACTTTGGGTAGGACATCCCCCCTGCCCCTCAGCCAGGGGGGCTGTGACTCACTCCCACCCCACCTCCACCCCCAACTTCTGTCTCCTCCAGAAACAAGTCAAACCGGAGTCCCAGGAGACGGAGCCCTTCCTGTCTATGGCACCCCCACTGCCACCACTTAATCTGAC